AAATAAAAAAATAAAAAAAATTCGTTCGCGTTCGGTGGGTTTCGGGACCCGTTCGCGTTCGGTTCCGAATGTTCGTGTTCGGAGACCGAACGCGAACAAAATGCTACGCAGGCTAAAGATGATTTTCTTGCATATTTTAAGAATTGCTGGACTTTTTGCCCGTTTTTTTCCATCCTTTCTCGGGACACAGTTAAAAATATTATTTTTTATGTGTCAAAAGTAACAGTTTGATGTTGTACTTTTTCATTTTATAAAAAATATTAGGTTTTATCGTTTTGTTAGGTTTTCATGAATTCGGTGTTCTTTTATAAAATAAATATATATATATATATATATATATATATTTTAAACAATAACAAAAAATGTATATATATATATATAAATATACATAGTTAAGTAAAAAATAATAAATAATAATAATTTGAGCCCGCCATAATCTCTATCATGTACCATGAACGCAACCGCTACAAACCTACCAATAACAAAACTGTCTGCAAACACCACTAACCACAACGATATAAATACACAGTACCTTATATACACAAGTATAGTTTTGGGAGCCAAAAATTAAAAACAAAAAAACTAAAAAACGTAGCACCACAGCCCTCTAGCAAAACCAAGACAACACAGATGTGACGTCCTGACTAAAACACGGACGGTTCATATACGACAAGAGATCCCCCGAGTAATAAGATGCAAAAATGACAAGCAAAGACCCAGAAGAACGCCAATGCCTAGAAAAACAAACGAGCAACATTGCAAAACGTCATAGCCAAACGCAACGACGACAAACAAAAGGCAAAAAGCAGCAAGAAGAAATGTGTACACAAGCTACCTCAGAACATGCCCAACACAGACAAAGCATATACGATAGCACAACACGGACGACGCAAGACCTGCAGACTGAATAAGCAAGACATTATACCCAACACCCACCTACATAAAAAAAAGCAAATTGCTACACAAACCCCCTACACACAGCGTTACCACCTTCAACCCACCTATGAAGTATACCCCTGATACCACATCTATGTGAATCCCCCTACCCCCTGCCATTACATAGACTATGGCACGTGTAAGCGAGCTACAACTATTATACAAAGCCATGGCGCCCACAACTGAATGCAGCCACAACGCTACTACTTTGCGAACTACTGCTGCCCACATGCCTTCGCTCTGCATAGCAAATCACACAAACTGCCACTTCATCTTCATCCCCCCTCCTCCTACCTTTGAAGCACGAGCACTGACTCGTGCATACAGCCAGACATACGATAGCCCAGCGTGAGCAAATCCTCACACACGCTCGACTGTCTGCTGCACGAGCACTGGTAGAAGGGAGCAGTGGCTAGACAATAGCTTCAGAGAAGTGATGGCTACCGCGGAGGATGCATCGGCGTCTCAAGCCTTCCAGCTACAGGTAAGTCTTATGCTGATTAACATATGTCTATGTTGTCTTATGATGCCACTAACGAGTATTAACGGGAGCTAGAGGCTGACCCTCTGATGAGCTGCTATGGTGCTAAGCGGCGAAAAACACGCTTCAGGGCGTGCACCACCCTATGGCTGACTTGTTCAGCCATCTCTGACCTCGGCCTAATATTAATACAACTCCCCCGCTGATTAACATACTAAATTCTAACGGCATCCACCTCGAATCCGGTGGGCAACCACTTACTCTTTGTATGTTCGCATGATAGTGACTTGTCGCTATGTTAATTGACTTATGCATAGATTTGTATTCCATAAAATAAGGAATAGCCGTGTTCTATACACACCCACTACTACACACACACACAAACACACACACACACACACACACACACACACACACACACACACACACACATACACACACACACACACACACACACACACACAGAGGGTGGCCATGACTACTAGGGATCAGATGTGAGTCGCTGTTCACGATTGTTTTAGCTGGAAGAAAGTACTAGAGGTGTGAAGGTGTTGGGGTTGTTGAAAGCCAGAGCGTGTTTTCAGGGAGAGATAGTTTATCAGTTCATAGCTGTTATGGGTATAGGAGAAGATAGCAGCTCACGAACAGAGGAGAAAAGATGTACAGAGGGAATGGAGGTTTTAGAAATAAGTTCAAATCACGGCCCAAATGACGGGCAAAATTTTGGTGAAGGGGGAAACGAAGGGTATGGCGGTGGGAACGGCAGAAACCGTGGCAGCAACGGATATGGAAGAGGCAGTGGTGGGTACAATGGAGGGAACGGGGGCGGTAATAATATAACGTGTTAWAATTKCGGGAAATRTGGGCATTTTGCCAGAGACTGTTGGTCTAGGCAAGGGAAACCATCCAATCAGGATCGTGAGAACTTGAGAAGGAGGATATGAGGGATCACTATCGGGGCTTGATTAAGGAGAGACAGGAGGTAGAGGAGAGGAAGAGGGAGGAGGAGCCGAAAAGGATCAAGGATGAGGAGGAGAGGCGCGGGGCTCTTGATCTGGTGCGGGCTACGGAGGAAATCCGCATGGAGTTAAGGGCCGATATTGCGAGCCAGTGGAGAAAGCAACAAGAGTTGGCGGTGGCGGGAGGAGCAAAAGTGGCAGAACAGAAGGCGGCCGAGGCAGCATGTGCGGCGGGAACTCTTGAGACCATGACGGATGGGAATATCGCCACGCTACAGAGGAATACCCCGGGGAGGGGAAAGGGGAGGAAATCTCGTAAGGACTTTAGGAGAGGTGGGACGAAGACAAGGAGACCGGACAGTTCAAGTGGGGGGACGGATTCATCGGATGAAGAGCAAACCACCGACATGGAAGAGAGCTCTGAATCAGATCTGGAAGATGAACGATCGAGAAAGACGAGGAGGGATTTGAAGCTCAAGCGGAAGAAGAAGGGAAAGAAGCGAACCAAGAGCAACAAAAAAAAGGGGGGATCTTTGTTGGAGAATCAAGTACAACATGAACGTGGAGAGTGTTCTAAGGGAAAACAATGACGGGGAAGACGGGAAAGTCATGAGCATCGAGGGTCGGAAGAACCGGCCATTTCGGTTAGGACGAAGCACATGGCATTGCCTGCGGAATGTTCCCAAAAAGGAATGATTGAGTATTGCCTGTCTGCGCAAAAGCTGTATTCAAGAGAGAACGCAACCACGCTCAGGAAGATATGCACACGAGAAGTACACACGGAAGCCGTTGGTAATTGAGGAACTAGCGAAGAGACAAGTGATGCTTGCATACGACAGTTTTGATGAGGAGAAAGCTCGGCAGGCGGCCGCGGGGGATGCTGTGAGGTCTCCGGGGATGGTGACACCGGTGGCGGGAAAGGTGACACCACGACCAAGGTCAGAACGGGTGCTCCTGCGATCAGTGAACGGTATGCCAGATCTGGGCTCCCACTGACGGTGGAAGCCCCCTACGATCGGTTGCCTATGGGAGACTCTTAACGAGTACATAGCGCACCGGACGACCCTACGGGGGCAGGGTGTAAACATGGCAGGTATGGCAAACGTCGAAAGGGTTATTGCGTCTGCGGCGATTCTGCTCACGATACGAGGCCAGATTCCTTGGGTGGAGAAGTACTTGAACAAGGTGATGCGACGCGRTAAAGTCGGGGGACTCAATCGTCTTACCAATTTGGATTCTGYCGGAGTGTACGTCATCATATGTCCTTGGGCAAGGAAGACATACGTAGGATGTATGGTAAGAACCATCTTGCAAAGGTGGCGAGAGCATCTGGCGAATGCATACATGAATGCATTGGGGRTATCCTCGGTTCTCTACCGGTGGATGAGAYGTATTGGACCGGAGCGTTTTCTCRTCATTCCACTTGCGCATATTGATAGAGACGAAGACCCGGCCTTCGAGAAGCATCTGATTCAAGATYTGTCCCCTAGTTTGAACACATGGGGAAGGAARACRTGGGAGAAGGAGGGGAATGCACGYCGGAGAGGGAGCGAGGGAGAAGACAAAGATCGAAGGGAGCGCTGCAGAGAGGGGCGGAGGTGAGGAGTATGGTGACTTTTTATGAGGGGACCACTGCGCATATATCGCTGCTGATCTGGTTGGAACAGGCTCATGTGGACAATCGGAGGAACAGAACGCTGTCATTCGGAACAGGGACGGTATGGGTGGATAACTGGAAACAGATTAAGAGGAGATTCGGCCTTTCAGACGTGCGGGTTGGACTTAGTAGAAAGTTGCTCAGGGATGTGAAGAAGGACCTCCAGCACGGAGGGCAGTTCACGTTCGAGAAGATCCGCATGACGAGGACGACAACGGAGCAGAATAAGCAAGAACTGCGAAGGCTTCTGAATACTCCTAGGCTGGCTTGCTGTCTGGGTAGGTGTACAATCAAAAAGCTGATGGGGATGTACAAGGCGGCAGGGTTATTCTCGAAGAAGAAGACTAAGAACGCACTTCGGATCAAGTTAGACAAGGCGGTACGCACGAAGACGGGGATACGTATCAGGAAACGGATTACTGTGAGGTTGCCTTATGATCCGAGGGTTGTGAGACAGGAGGTCAGGCGGGCTGCGGAGAATATGGTTGAAGCATGCATCTGGGACAAGGCGCTTGCGAACGCTGTGAAGGACAGGATACGGGTGGTTTGGATAAGGAACAGAACCGTGGCTGAGATTATCCATAACCATAAGAAGGCATCCTCAACAGAACCAGTCGGCTGCAGATGAGCGAAATTCAATATGGCGAAGAAGGATGGTCATATCCTTACACGGTTTACAGACATGACGACTGTACCGATCTTCTTGCGCAACAGCCGGAACATCACGAATCATCAAGGAAATCGTGATCCGGCTTTCATATCACAAAGGATTTGGGAGGGTGGAAAACACCTGAAGCCTGGCAGCAGGCCCACGGTGGATGGGGGGCGAGTGTTTAGGATCAGGGCGATGAATGTCACAGCTTGGTCAGACCAGGAGGTGAAGGTCTCGGCTATGAGGTTTCGCGGACTGGTGCTAGCTCCTGTGGATAGGAACCAGGGAGATACGGCCGTGATGTGCCCAGTTTTATACAGGCACGGTTTTGGGTGTGCGTTTGACAATGTGGAATGCAAACTACGAGAGGGTACTGGTGGAAGAGACCACGATTTTGAGAGACTACAAAGAGGAGTTTAACAGACAAGGTTTCGGGAAGATCGGAGACTGGAAGCGAGACAGGAAGATTGGAGCCGCGTTTGTGCTTCCGAAGGACAAGGATTTGAGCAAGCATAGACCGATTGCTCCATCCTTCGCGGATCCTGCTGTTTTGGTGCAGAAGCGGGTAGCGAAGGCGCTACACTATCTGATGATCATGTCCCCAGAGAGGGGAAGTATGTACATGAATTCGGTGGCTGATTTGAGCACCTGATTGGAGGCTGTGAATTTCACGATGGGGAAGGAGGGGGCGATCGGAGCATTGGGAAGATGCTACGATATAAAGGATATGTTTGCCAGGATACTACATGAGGCGGTGATGCAGTCAGTCAGGGAGCTTTTGAGATGGTTTGGGGATCGAGGATGGAAGCAAGTCAGGGTGTCGAGGAGAGGAAAGCTCTGCGCTTTGAGCAGGAGGGTTAAGTATGGGGAAGGATTTGTGACCATTACATTGGAACAAATTATGGAGGTCGCGCGGTTCGATCTGATGAACGCTTTCGTCAGATGCGGGGAACTGATTGGAAGACAGGTGTTCGGGATCCCTATGGGAAAATCGACAAGCCCGGTGTTGGCGTCGATTACTTGTGCAGTGGCGGAATTCAAGTTCCTATCGGAATTGGGTACGGATTGGGCATTGGTATGCGGGGTACGAATTATGGATGATGTCTCGATCATTGTCGGCCACAGGCATTTGGCTGAGGATGTGGCACGAGCGACCAGGATTCTTGACGAATTCGAAGGTATCTACGACCACCATCTGCAGCTCGTGTGAAAGGATGAGTGATACAACACATGACAGTTTATCGGAGACGACGTATACGTGGCAGCAAACCCAGTACAAGTGCATTTTGTACCCAAGATGAAGAACACAGAAGTTCTGAGGGAGTCCGGGACGCTGCATTTCCAGACCATGCAGGGTTTTTCATCATTCTCAGAGAAGAGGACCAAGAAGGCGGTGGTTTCCGCCACACTGCGTAGACTGTGGGAGCAGGCCACCAGTAAGGCGCTGGCCATTGGCCCTATCGCATATGCTATCTGGGAGACACACCTCCGGGGATACCTCCTCGGAGGTCTCTCTCGACGCTTTGGCCAGATTGGCTAAAGCTGCGGATGTAGCTACGCTGAGAACCCTGTGGAAGGCATTCACGAATCTGCAAAGGGGAGTCGGGAGGCCGACAAGGCGGGCAGTGGGGTTGGAGGTTTTTATTCATTTTTTTGGGTTTTTCCAGATAGAAACAGGATGACATAATGTTGGGTCCTGTTCTTGCGACACCCGGATGACGTAATGTCCGTGAATCGGCGGGGAAAAAAAATGTCTTTATAATAGTAGTAGCTCTGGTACGGGGCGGGACGGGACGATACGGTAGAAGGTCCCAAATTTTTCTTTTTTTGGCGAGCGGGAGATTTTTCGTTTTTCCTTTCCTTTTATTTTTCGCTTTTGTTTTCCTTTTCTTTTCGTTTTCGTTGTTTCTTTTTGTCGATCTGTTCTGCCATATATCCGGAGTTCCTCCGGGGAGGGCAAAAACAGGTAGGGAAAAAGGAAAGAAGGAGAAAAGTTTTTTCGGACCACTGCGCAGCCCGGTCCGCTACGGTCCGCTACGGTCCACTACGGCTACATACGGAAAAGTGGATGTTCGCTGTGGAGAAGTCAATTATCATACTATTTGAGAAGCAGGTAGGATGAGCGCACGGGGAGTGGCACTGTTCTTGATGGGTAGGAAGGTAAGTAAGCCTAAGGATGCATTTTTTCGAAGGTGACACGTGTGCTCTCAGGGACGGATAGGGAAGGATCAGAGGGTGGGATGATCGGAGCTTATTCGAGGGAACTGACATTTCGTTAAAACTGACATTTTTTTCTAAATTCACGAAAGTGGACTTAGTCAAAGTTCCATTACTCATCGGGTGAGAAAGTGGTTATCTCACTTTGTTCATCTGATGTACCTCAACGTAAAGTACCGTTAACATATGGTCAGATCATCGGGAGTCGCCGCGACACCCGATGATCTGATCATCCGACGTCATGGGGACAAAAAAACACTAAAAATGTTGTTTTTTGGTACGCTCAATTTCGTGAATTTAAAAAAAAATGTCAGTTTTAACAAAATGTCAGTTAGGGGCGTTTGGATGGCTGGCCTGACTTAGGATTGGCACGGGTGTGGAGCTTCTGTGGTTGGTGCATATGATTACGGAAGTAATTAATCACCGACAGAAGGTACATCTGAGGAGTTGACGTTCTTGAGCCAACTACAGAGTGCAGGCGCTTGGACCGTTGCGTAGAGTGGTGAGTGCACGCTAGTGTAGAAAGTATAGATACGAGATGGCATGGCTGGTCGCCGTCTCTTTCGGCAGAAGGATTTCGATCCACCTTCCTGATGAGGATCCGTTGCGGAACTGACGAAACCGGTCGGGGGACCGCTTTGCCTTCAGGTGTTATCCTGATCTTTGGGGTGTGCTGATCT